GCTGACAACTTTTAAGAAACGACGTTACACCAGATGGAACTCTTTAATTCGACAACATGCCTCCTTTGGGACGAGTTGAGTTACTACGCATTAGCGCAATAGAGGAAGGATCGTATTCAAGTATAAACACGAAACAGATGGTTTCAATTGGTCTTGAAGGATTTTTAATTAACAAAACGTAACTTCGCTTTCTTGAGAAATAACTACGCTGCTCACTCGGGATTGCTCCTGTCAACTAGTAATCTAATTTTCTTAAATACTTATATTTGTGTACATTAATATCTAGAAACCAGGCTGAAATTCCCTAAATAACTGGATTCAAAATATATAGAACACTTTTAATACATTTTAAGAGTTGCAATAACATCACTTGAGCAGCTTCGGCAGAGATGTACATTTTTTTACAAAGGGATGAGTTAATTGCAATTTATTTGAAAATAAAACTAATTCGCAGGAATGTATATGTTAGCCATGAGTTTGTGGTCAATTCAAAAATAACGTCCGCATCCTTTTCTTCTTCTAATAGAAAATAACTAAATTTTACAATTTGTAGGTTTAGTGAAATTAGAAATAATACCAATATGTCTAGTAAAGAAACTTCCAGAACATTAGATGCAAATAAAAAACACTAATCCAGGTGGTTTACTTTGTACATATGTCTAATCGAAATTTGTGTTCAATAATGCAATATTTAAGCATGATCGAGAAGAGAAAACAACGATGAAATATGTATAAAAGTCCATTTTATTTGAAATTGCTTATAGACTGCAACATTTTTCTGTTATGGTCAAAGATTTTCACTACTTATGCTTCTCGACGACATCCAGTGCAGTTGTTTGGACTGTTCAGGCTATGAGTAGACGAGGCTTACTTCTTGTATTATTGTAGTATTGTTGAAGTTTATTTACAATTTCGTCCCTTTGAATTAAATATACTTGATGGCGTTTCCTGACACAATTAACGTCTTTTTTGAATGTGGCCTTCCACATAATTGAGGTAAGAGAATTTCATAGTTTCATTCCTATTTTTATATGTTGTATTAAAACCCGTTATTAACCTAATTCGTCACCACTCCTCTTTTTAAAGGTAGTGCCATCCTTCAGTTGGTTTTGAATACCTTTTAAATTTTTTGTCTACACGTTCAAATATGTATCCAGAAAATGCTTGGTGCTATAGCCTGCCTCGCCTACATTTTATTATTTATCATCCTCGCTCTAGGTGCGCTAGTTTCACGCCTCGTCGCTGTCTGCGGAAGGTGCTGGACAATCGAAAGGACACAGCACTTCCCCTGCCGAATCGCCCCTCCTGAAGTGTATACACCGAAGGCAGGCATCAGAGTGGCAGAAAAGTACCCTCCTCATGACGCGTCACGCCTTTATGCCGTCGGGTCCACTCCATATATCCCGCCTCGTCAGCAAAAGAACGCCCATCCCGGCTGCCGTCCGCTGTTTGGCCTGCCCGCGTGCCAAACGCCGCCTCCGGCCAGCGAAGGTTGTTAGGACCGGGTGCGTGCTGTGGACTTGGTTCCGCCACTCCAACCGACCCAGAGGGCTCAGGGCATCAATTGATGTCACTGGAGAGTCTCTTGGGTTCGGTCCCGGTGGGAGACCTGGAGCTTCTTGGGTTCGAGTCCCGACGGTAGGAGGATTTTCGAAACTACCCAGGTCGAATACAGCCGCTGTCTGGGGGAAAATTCTACCGGCCGGCTGCTCTGATCGTTAGTTTTCCATGGTCTCTCCCTTCGATACCAGGCTGATGCTGCAGCTTTAACGGACGGACAGCGCGCAATCTTTTCTCTCTCTTCCTTGACCTCTCTTTACTCCTTACATACACTTACACTATCATGCACTACACTACCACACGTACCGGGAGACCGATCGGCAACTTAGAGCTTCTGGGGCGGTGCCCCGGTGCTCGGAGATTCCTGGCAGGAGAAAATCCCGCTGATCGACTTGTAAGTCAGCGTCGGATCTCGCCATCCAGCGAGAGGGGATCACCGCCACCGTCAGCGGTAATGACGTACACTACAATTACGGGACTAATGACTCCACGTGTTGACGGACCCAGAAACACTAACCGCCACAGAATCCGCCGCTTCTGGAAAACACCCGAGAACGGCCTTCAAACCGCCAAAATTTTAGTTAATTTTGTGACAAAGTTATCTCTCTGTATATATTTAACTTTTGTCTATTTTGTATTAAAAAAAGAGGTGGAAAGTTTAGAACTATGTCAAACCATTGATCTGCCTCCTACGAATACGAATGAACATTAATTTGTGTTATTTTTATTTTCTGGACTTATTTCTTTTGGATCCAATATGTATTTAACACTATGAGGCAGATTTGTTGTTTAATAACATCCCTAATATTAAACTCCATTTTTTGGAGTTCTTGTATTTTTTCGACCTACTGTGTTGAAATCTTCTGACCTGGAACTTTCAGTAAAATCTTTGTTAAAATCGACGCACACAATACCTAGCTTCCATAAGTCATAAATTAGGTGGAACCAAATTATGGATGACTAGCATCACATGCAAATAAAAC